TTGAGACGAGGCCTGCGAGATCTCGATCACGGAGCCGCCCGAAACCTGTAGGCTTCCATTGCAGAAAAAGCCGCCACCATCGTCGCCCGATGCTGTGCCGTGAATGCTGATCTTGGAACTGTTGCTCACCGTCACGGCTCCCGGGGAATAGAACCCACCTCCATGGGTCAAGTCCGAGGACGCGTTGCGCAGGAGCAGCTGGGACCCATCAGCCACCCGGACGCCTTCAGCGTGAAAGCCTCCTGCAAAGTCCCTTGCTTTCGCGTGCTCTATGCACACGGTGGAGTTCCGAAGTATCTGCAAGTAACCATAGGCGAGCAAACCGCCACCTTGGCCAAAGCTAACTCTGCCTCCGCTAAGTCTGCCTCCGCTTGCAACCGCATGGGAAATGTGAAGAAGAGATCCGTCAGTCAAGGCAACATCACCCCTAGAAAAAATGCCCGATCCGTCCGAAGAAGCGACGCGCTCGATATGGACCGACCCACCGGTGATGCGCATGCTGCCATCAGCAAATACCCCAGCAGCCTGAAGGGCTGAGGCTGATGAGTCAGAAACATGAAGCGAAGAACCCTCCGCGACGAGGATTTCGCCATTGGAAAACACTGCTCCAAAAGTATCCGCCACATGGGCATGCTGGACGGTCACGAGCGAGCGCTTCAGCTCCAGGCGATGTAGCCCGAAGCCTCCCACCCTCTTCCCATGTACGCGGAGCAGATGTATAGAAGAAGCGTCCTCGGGGACTCAGGACTGGATTCGGGGAGGGTGAGCGAACACAGGTACCCGGGATCCTTCTCGGATCCGAGGCCCTTAAACGCCAGTAAGATAACACGAGGACTCAAGCAACCTGAGCGCGTGTCCAGAGTGAGGCCACCAGCGATGAAGAACCCTCCAACAAAACCGGCCCTCGAGTTATCTGCACCTCAGTGGCCGCCAGTCCCGTCTTACGAGCGCGTGCGAGATCAACACCGGACAAACCAGCTGCACAGGCTTCAAATGCTCCAAACCCAAAGCCCAGGGACCCTCCTGCGCCAGGTCCGAGCTCTCCACGGCTCGGCTGTCCATGATTTGCAGATTCGATTCGAGCAACTTCCTCAGAATAAGAAAAGCGTGACTTCCATACTTGCTGCAGAAAGCTACAGATGTATAGCCAGGAGTAGCCGCACAGACTGCACACCTGCCCCATGCGCGCTGTTTCCTGTCAACGCGCCATTAAGGCCAAGTCTCGTCTCCCCGGCAAAGAAACTGCCGTAAGCCATGGCTGTAGCGCCTTCAACCTGTGTAGGAGCACAACGTCGCACAAACCCTCTGGCTCAAGACCGCCCCACCCGCACCCAAATGCTAAGTTCATCTCCGAGCAGCCGTGAGGTTGGATGTTTCGAGCATCATTTTGGCAGCAGAGAAAGCACCCCATAGTCTTCCAGCACTGACGTTCCGGATGTTCAGTATGGAGTCCTGCAAGTGGTGTTCATGAAGCTGCGAGACTGGGAGCACTGATGTACGGTGATGTCCGGTGATGTCCGGCGATGTACGGTGGCCGTATTGAAGCGGTAACTCGACATGGCACTACGTCAGGACAACTGAATTGATCGGACAAACCTGCCAACAAAAGACAAACCAGCCATGACATAAAATGTCCGTGTGGGCTGCATGACCTCATGACCTGCATCATCAGACTTGTCTGGCCTCTGATCAAGAGCTCCTGGCACCGACGAAGTGCGTGCACAGACTTCAGGCGATGGCTACTGGCAACCCTGCCGACTGCATAGCTGTGGCGGGGGAGGGAAGTACGCAGTAACAGTACAACCAGAATGGCGGAGCAACAGGAGCACGTAGAACTACATGGACTGGGCAGAGGGGCGCATGCCATTTGAGGTTCAGGCGCGGTTTGCGCAGAGCACGGACGGACAACGGCCCGTCAAAGACCCGCCGGAGTGCAATCGTGTCATCGGAGGGAAATTACGCAACAAGCGAAGTATTTTCAGGCTGGGGTCACTGAGGACAAGGTGTGACTCCTTGAAACTTGGCTGAGAACATGGTCAAAACCAGCAAGACATTCAAAGTCTGAAAGTGCCTGGGGTGATATCGAAACTCCTTTCATACCAACTGTCGCTCTACACATCACTAGCCAAAAAAGTGTTTCAAGTTTGGCAAGCTGCTACTGGCTTCGCAACAGCTGTGTCTCACCTTCGCATACATGTAGCCAGCGACCAACCACTCAACGTCTTACTTTAGCTGTACAAGTAGTTGTCTACTCTGAGATGACACGCTCAAAGAACCTCAGTCAGCTCGAGTATAGTCCTCACCAGTACGCCCTGAGAACATGTGAGAAACCTAGGCCTCGGAAAGTGCTACCGCAGTAGTCCCAATGAAAGCTGTCAAGAGCCTTGCCGTCCTGGAGCCACAGGAACCCATTAGTGTAGAAGCCACCAGCGTGGCGGCCCGCAGCGCTGTCCAAGATCTGTAGGGACGCACCATGCTTCAGCTGCAGCCCGAGCTCTGCGAAGAAGCCCCCGACATCCACCGTGGCACGGGTGCGGCGTAGCCAAATGGAAGACCTGTCCTGCGCCAATAGGCTCTGATCTACACCAATCGAACGCTCGTATTGAAACTGTCCGACAGATATATTGCCTCTACTAGTCCCTCTATGAACTATAATCGGTATAATAAGCCCCCTGTATAATCCCCTTTTGAGGAGTTCAGACTATAGCTCCTATGATTCCCAGCAACACTCTTTACATTTCATTCCTTCGTCCGCGCTAACCACGAGAACTCAAACACTCAACCTTAAGCCTTACAAAATCTGGGTTTAAGGTTAGGGTTTAGAAGTGCGGTTTTAGGAGTTAAGGTTTAGGATAAACCCTGCCAGCATGTCAGTTCCCACTATCTTCTCGATTTTCCCGTTTCCTCCTACCCACCCCTAGGCCTGAAGTCCGATAACCCTAGACGGCTTACATCGATGTTTCAGCAGACCCCGGTCCAGGGTGACCAAGCCATCCACCCAGAAGCCTCCACCACTATCACTCGCAGAAGTCCCAGAGATCGACAGATTCGAACCCTCCAGGAGTGTCCTCAGCTGCAAGATGAAAAACAACGCAGCAGAAACGGGCAAATACCTTGTCCATTGCGAATCACGTGGAAGTTTCGGTACGGAATTGCAGCAGTGGCATGGCCCTACCATCTCCTCAGATTTGCGGTCCAGGCGCAGGTTGCCTGCGTGGAAGCCCCCCCCTTCCTGCGCACTCGTCCCCTCCACCTGCAGCAGAGGACGCAAACCATCCTAGCTGAATTCCGTTGCACAAGTGCAAAGCTAACGCGTGGCTCTGTTGCACGCTTCCCCCGAGATTTGTGCGTGGAACCATTCCAGAAACAACGTGACATCCGCCTGAGGCCCTCAATTTTTGCGGCAAGCGGCCATCAAGCTCGATCTCCTCAGCGTCACGGTGCCATTGGCCGCGAAGGCGCCCCCACGCTCCACCTGACCAGTCTGCTTGTGGGACATCAGGACCTCCGCATCCTCCAACGTCAACGACCTTGTCTGCGTATGTCTGCGTGCAAACTGCAACACGCAGCACGTTTTTCTGCGCGTGGGCGGGAGGCATCTCAAGAGCATCGTTTACGCCAAGGAGCCCATCAAGATCTAAGCGGAGGGACAGGAGCTCCAGCTGGCCCGAGAGCAGAAGATCGCCTCCGACCAGCGTTCCCTCGCCCAGCAAGGCTGCGCCACTGTGATTTTGGCCCTTCGGGCCCCTCAGCTCGCAGCTGCTGGGAAGCACCGTCTCCGACCTGACAGGAACCGCGCGCGAGAAAAGGAGCGCGGATTTAAATGCTGCCGGCTGGGTCCGAGCGGCTCCACGTGGAAGCAGCGCGGCGGCAGCGCCCCGCCAGTGCACCATGCAGCCAGCTGCCAGGACCCCAGGCTCTCGCAGGCCTCCAGTCAGAAGCAAGTCCCTCTACCCAAGGCTTATATAGGCGCTAAGCGGTTATATATTGGGATACATATGGTGTAAATTTTAAAGAATCTGAAACTACTATTCAAGGTTTAGGGTACACTTTTTTTTGTGATGGAGCTTCGATGTCCTGTGCCCCTGCCTGAGGCCGTCTCGCCCCCGCAGGAAATCCAGCAGGCGCCACGCCTGTCAAGCTAGCGGTCCTTTGTGGTATGTAGGTTCCTGCAGGGTCGCAACACACTGCCCGGGGCCTTCCAAAACACCTTCGCTGAGCGTAGCGAGCACCGCTGCCACTGCTGCCCAGGTGCGCATGGCCCACTCACCTACCTAAAAGCTAGGTACCAGGTGCAGATTCGAGGACCCGCAACACTGAAACACAGACGCCTCGAGTTTGCCACATGATGCTCGACAAATGCTTACATTTCTGCGGACGCCGAGCCAATGCTGGCAACACTGCTCATCTCCTTGGCTGATGCGTGGACGCGCTTCTCAAGCCATGAAGCTGGAAGTCTTCCTGCCTTTTTTGCATCCATGCACTTGTGATGTTCAACTAAAACTGCCCATCGAATCACAGATGGGCGCTGCTTTGGGAAACGGAGCTTGCCCTAGGATTCGTGGGTGATTAGGTGTCTACACAAAGGCTCAGATGTATCGTTGCTGTGACTGGATTCACGATGATTGGTTTGGCAGGCATCCCAGCAGCACGGCTAATTCGCTTGCGACTTGTGGCAAGTACTAGGCAACTAGACAAATGCAATTCTACGCGCCGTTCGGAGGAGCAAGATCAGTGTAGCTCAATATGACATGGAATGTTGAATCCGCATCTTTAGTCCTCGCCATTGCTCAGAGAACGGGCTGCCACAACAACCCATAAAGCAACACACAAGAAACTGAATGGGCTTGTGAGTGCCACATCTGTTGTACTGCCTCCTTCAACCCATCTCGAGAAGCAAGGTCTCTGTGGCATCTGCCAGGTTCTGCACATTCTGCCTCAGATGCATCCTACATCACCCAACAGAACACGCCTCAACTATTCACGCTGGCAAGAACCCCTCACGCAATGCAACGTGAGAGTTTACGGGCATGTATGTCACTAGTTCCCAGGCGCTGCAGAATTCGGCTCATCCGCTGTTTAATTTGAATGTCCATATTTGCGAGGCTTCCCATCTTGGATCGTATGAACTGGAAGATTTTCTGCCTGTCCTCCTCGACAGACGCGTGACCTTATGCGACAGAGAAGATCTGAAGGCGCACACGACTCCAGGCGTCACACATTCATGCACGAAGCAACTACTTTAACAGCAAGCGGCAGTTGACTACTTGCAGGGTCCGCAATGCCCGCCCAACTTGTAGAGCAATGTCTGGGGAAGCTCCCTGGTCACCCAGCACTCCAAGATCTGTTGCAAAGACCAAATCGTGCTGGCGTTCACTTGCAAGAAGAAACTCGAAGAGGCACCATACGCCTCGGACTCCCATGCTGGATCCCCATGGTAAACTGACTAAGACATGCCGATTCAAGGACCCAGCTTCTCACCATAAACACGGCAAACAGGCAGGCTGCTACACGACCAATTGAGTTGGGAGACGTGTGAGTGGCTGGACCTGCTGATCCAATACCATGACGACACCCTGGAGGTGTGAGTGGAGGACCTTGGCAAAAGCGCTGTCAAGTACGTCGGTCCCGATCTCACTCGCGATGTCCCACTGGTTGTTGGCGAAGGAGCAAATCCAATAGGTTGGATTGTCGGTGCCGGTGAAGGCCGCATGGCGCTGTAGGCACTGGACGAAATGCTGAAATGGAGTGGCCCAACTGTGGGACACAAAGTGAGATACAGCCTTCCCTTGCAGGAGGCCTACCAGGGAAGTCTGCTGTTTCTCGGTGAGTGGCTCCACGATGTTGGCCACGACAAAATGCATGGTCCTATCTAGAATAAAGCGCTTGAAAT